GGAGCTTAACCACTATGCAAGAAAAGGGGTAATGTTTATCGTTTTAAGAATATCGTTTTTACAAATCATGACACTTTTGAGCAGGTATGATCTCGCGTTTTTATAAAACATTGGAAACGTCGGGTCGTAGATTTAGAGAATTACCAAATAGTTCGCGTGTTAAATACTAAAAATTGGTATTATTAAACCAAATAATCATACAACTGGATATGTAGATCTTCTTTAATAACGGGAATTCCCGTGAAAAAACCTAATAAAATTAATATACTTTTTATGAATCTATATTAATATGTTATTGTGTATCCTATTTCAGTCTAACAAAATCTTATTTCTAAATTTGCATAAATATGTAATTTTAATAAAGACAGATATGATGTAGCATACCTATACTCATAAAAGTTATCTATTTGATAGAATTTGGAAACACCAGTTTTGTCTGTGGGTTAGACGAAATTTGTTCATTGTTGACTACGCCCCGATGCTTGCTAGACTGGTAGGAGCTATCGCTATCATATTTCGCATTTTAAACCGTTAAAATTGTATAATTTAAATCAAAATAATGTGACTTCTCAAGCATTAACGGGCTCAATGGTGTAATGCTAATTCACAATGTAAGGGAAATAATCAACGGGTCGCGGGTTCGATCCCCACCGGGTCTAACGTTTTTCTAATGAATTTATAAATTGTATATAACTTGTTGGACTTTGATTGGAAATCTGGATATTAAAAGGGTGCTAGGAATATCGCCATTCCACGATTTAGTGTCCACAGAAGCCGCTAAGTTAAATCCCTGTCTATGGATGTCCGAATATCCAAAGCCAAAAAAGGGCGACTGCGCATCTTTAGATGTTGTATGGCTGTGGTATTTCACCTACCCTCGAGTGCACCCTATGCTGTCTCCTCTATCATAAAGAAAATCAAGTGCCGTCATATTATTTATAAGACTCATCATATATTCATTAACTTTCAATTACCAACGTTGAGACTCAAGTAAGCTATGAGGGTATTCTTAGGTCTGGTATCTTTAGAATTACGATCTAAGTTCTTATCTACGCTGGCCTATGCGTCTTAATAAATGGGACATTATATCGTCGACTTTTGGTTTCTAAAGATAATTTTCTTTAAGTAACAATGTACATTAAGACAAATTATTTGTACACAAGTTTCGAACTCCTGACCCTTGACTTTAGATACATACAACTGGAACCACAGAGGTTTTATAATAATATTACCTATTTGTTACAATTCATCAGTACACTATAATATCTGACCTAACGTCTGGAGTGATATAGAATGCTATCAAAACCGCCATTTGTGAAAAATCCAGTTGTTTTATTACAAACGTTTTCAGGGTTACCACAAAATAAATCTATAATGCCAGTTGTTTTTGTTTTTTATTAAATACTAGCTGACCTGGCAAACATTCTTTTACTATACACAGTATTACGACGAATTGATTATCACAAAAACGGATTTTGGGAATTAACCTTCACATTTTTTTTAAATAATTTAATGAAGAATAATTCTTTTATAGTCTGTAGTTTACGCAAGTAGTACACATTTAAATAAAACACTTTAAAGGTTTGAAACGCGATATATTAGTTAAACTTATTTGAAAATGACTTAACTTCAGCCCGACTTTTCAAATAAGCTTAACTAATATATCGCGTTTTAAACCGTTACAGTGTTTTATTTATAAGTTTAATAAGGTTTTTAGTTAAACATATATGTTACAGTTCGGCAACCCTAGCTGCACATGTGCTACTATTCATATGGTGAATCTTGGACCTTGACGAGTTCATTCATCGAACCATACAAGGTCCGCTGTGAGAATATATTTTATGTAAAATAATCTTGAATGTTTTTTGCATATTCATGTATGGACTACAGAACAACTTTTGATCGAGGCAGCAATATACTCGTTTTATATTTTTAAACTAAACTACACAAAATATTTCGTCTTCCAATAGTTTGTATAAATTGCGAGCATACAGGTACGTATTTACGCCTGTTACACATTTCAATTCCGCAGCGATTGAGAGAAACCAACCTTTTTATAGCTATTAAATTATAGCAGAATATTTCTTTTATTTTTGTAAGAATTATGCAAATACCTATTCTATAAGGATAGGACATTAAATTCGTTGTTAGCTAAGTTTAACAATTTAAAGAATGTAATTAGTTAAGTTGGTTAAGGTTATCATTTGTGTTAGTGTTGAAATCAGTCTAATTTTGTTTTATGACCTCTATATATATTTACAATATTATTAACGTTTAAAACGAGAAATTATTAACAGTACTTAATACGATTTATGGTATTCTTCAGTAGCTATAAAAGTTTAAATACAACACTTAATTCCGGCGGTAGTTAAATTAATTTGTATATAATCTTAACATATATATATCGCGTTTTAAACCGTTAGAAATGTTTTATAGAAATATGTGCTACTCGCATACATTTATAGGGCTGTAGTGTTTTTATTCGGTTTACTAAATCAAAGAGCTAATTAAAATATATTTTATAAATCGCGTCGCAAGCGCATCCAGTAATAAATTATTGGTCAGATCACGAGCGATTGCACAAGGATGACGAACACATATTTCATCAAAGGTCACCGCTGCACTTGACTCACGGACGTTAGATAATTGTTTCCGCGCTGCAACATACCTTATATGTTACTTCATTCTATGATTAATATTTTTTATCTTGAAATCAATCAGCATAAAAAGCTTCGCTTGAGAAGGGCATAGGGGCCACAGCCAACTTGAACGGATAGTGCAAGAAAACGTTAGCTACGCGAGTCGTACACATTTAAATGAAACACTATAACGGTTTAAAATGCGATTTAAATTATTAATACAATTTTCAAATAAGTTTCACTAATATATATCGCGCTTTAAACCGTTAAAGTGTTATATTTTTAAAACGATAACGATGTTCGTTGTATTCACTGTGTGTATGTATTCACTCATTAGTAGACATGGCAAACGTACTTTTGTCGTATAAAGTGTTTCGGCTTAATTTGATTACGATAAAAACAATTCTAGTGAGTTAATCTTAAAAGATAGACCTTAAAGGGTGACATTATAAATCATAGAAAAGTGGGATTCGAACCGGCATCTACAGTGTTCCGTGCTGCTACTGACCACGACCACGGTAGTCGATTGCTTAAACTAAAATTACAACTTCCCTTTTGTAAGATTTTTAAGGTAACTCGTATTGATTACCGTTAGCTTAGAAATGAGTATACGCAAAGAAAAACATTTAATTAACCACTCTCTTGATCACACCGAGCTTCCCCGGGCTTGGAACCTTAGACCAAAATATATAGCTATAAATATTGAAACATGTAACGGTCGAAAAAAAGATACCCAATCTTGCTGACCGAAACTTAATAGCTGTTCCACGTTTAATTTAGAGGATAAAAAAGTAGGATCACCTATGATTAGAAGGGTTGTTCCCCTATTACATTAAAATGAACCCTTTCCGTTTAGAGAACGCAACGCTCTGGCATTCACCTTGGTTTTTTATTCCTTTTCTATTATTTTATAGTGTGACGCGTTGTTTGTGCGCAATACAGCGACGAGCTGGGTTTGATCGTTGGAGCCACATCTCGCTATTTGTAGGCCTTATTGTATTTAAGTAGGTATTGCCGACAGCCCATTAATCGTATCCACTACTAGACTCGGGAATCATAATAGAGTGTACAGGCATTATGCACCATTCCAACCATTCCAAATGTATATTGATCGAACGAACATACTGTTCAACCAGATTGGTTTTCACTATTATGTTGACTAGCTTTTAGAAAACGTGCGTTATACATTAAAATGCGTTTTACATATGAATAAAAGTCAACGACAATTCGAAGTAATTTTTTTCTAGTTTTCTCTTGTATAACATTTTCATAGATGTCAAAGAAATCAGTTACCTCTACGTCGGGCTGGTTGGTGTAATGGATATATCTATGGCTAATAATTAACGTGTTCTAAGTTTGATCCCCACCGAGTCCAAGTTTTTAATCAATTTACAATTTTTCAGAAACATGTTGGACTTCATCTGGAAATCTGGTAGGAATATTGAAATTCCATCCGGGTTGCGAACCACCTTCCACAGATGAAAAATCCCTCAAGTATAATCGCGTTTAGCTTTTAGTCCGAGGATTCCGAGGCTATATGTCTGGGCTATTTCAACTATCATCAAGAGAACCCCATGTTTATCTCTAATGCTCTAACACAAAACAAACTTATGTTTAACAACATGACATAAATTAAAGTGACGTAAATTGAAAATGTTTAACTGTATAAAAATGTAGAGGTCGAATACTAAGTATCAACGCACATCAGTCGCAGTATAAGGTCCCTTCAGTCCAATGCTCAACGCTTCCAGCATGACGTATCACCTCTGCATATTAATTCAGCATTTAATTTCTATAATAATGTCGGCCCTAACTCATTGTTTTAGTACACCACCCTGTGACGGTAATCGTTAATTCGTTTTAACAAAGCAACGTCCTAAATTAGTAATAATAATATTTCTACTATAACTTATAATGATGCATTGATCAAAATTTGTTAAGTCAGATTCAATCTCCCATTCTGTTTGTTAATCTAGTCTAGATTAAAACCTTCACGTACTTAAACCTTAAATTCTGTTGTCTAGAGAAGTAGAATTGGATTAGACATTGTCAAAACAAAAAAAAGTATACAAATTACACGAGTAAAAATTAGAAAAATGTAAAAAATGACACGATAAAATACTATAAAAACTGAAATGCCGACGAAATTACATACGCTCAGCGGCATAAAACGCACTTATCAAGGCAAAGATGTATTACGACAGTTATATGGATAATTTTTTCAAGAAAGTCCAAAATAGTTACGTAACAAAGTATACAGATAGTACAGACTTTGAATATACATCTAACATACCTTCTGTAAGTACAAAATGTGGAAAACATTGTTTAATAAAAAATTCTCCTCGAAAAACAGAAAAAACAATGCAACCAAATATAGAAACACTCTACCACGTTCCAAAACTTAAACTATTAGATACCGAGAAAGACAACAAAGCAATAAGATTTCGAAAGATTATAAACAATCACTATTCTAAAGAAAAGGCAGAAATTAGTGTAACTAATAAAAAAAATCTTGATAAGGGTAAGAATACTGACAGCAATTTTAATAATTATGCTGTGGGCCACTGTGATAAAAATAGAGGGGATCAAAATCTTGAGACAGAAAGTTCAAAATCCATATTGCGAGACAAATTCTTGCCCCGCTTGTCTAATATTTTTAGGCGATCGAACAATCAAATAAAGCAAATACCAAGTATAGAAGAAAAACACCAGAGAGTTAAGGAAACATTGTGTGAACATTATCCAGATTATCGAAAAATAAATACAGTTCATCAACCTGTGTATGCTGTACAAGGAAAAGTTTTAAGAACGCCATTTATACAAAAAAAATATCAGGATGCATCACTTCAGCATCAATACATAGGAACAAGAGACCAATCGTCTTGTACACCCTCTTCTTTGACATCATCACTTGGATCTATAGATCCAACACCCAATCTCAATAAACGAACTAAAATATGTCTTAAACGAGACCAAGAAAAGAATTTTGATATATTCTGTAACCAACATGTATGCTCGGATTTATCAGATTTAAAGCAAAACAAAAATCTGCAGTATCCGTCAAAGTATACGAATACGAAAAAAGAGTTTTTATTAAATTCAAGCTGTCAAGCAAATTGTGCATCTGTCCAGTCGGACAGAGCGAATATAGATCAATCATCATCATCTAGTTTCTGGAATTTTATAGCTGATAAATTAAAAGCTAGAAACAAAAATAATGTGGATGACTGTGCCTGTGAAGCTATACCAGAACCAGAATTAAAAGCAAAGTCAGATATAAACTGCAGTCCATCTAACTGTGATAGGTTAAGGGGAGAAAAGGTTACTGGTGCTAATAGAGGTCTTCCGCCACTACAACCCAATGAACTATTACCTAACAAGACACTATCGCAAAATCTAAAACCAGAATCAAAACCGAAAATGAAGTTTTCAAAGAGTCCCACAGCATTGCCTCCGCTTCAGAAAAACAAAGTACCACACGAATGCAAATGCTCCGCAAAACATATACAAAACACTGACACTTTAGCACAAAAATCCAATGAGACGTGTCAGAAGCCGCACGATGAGGTCACTCAGAGTCTTGCTGATAAATATAATGGACAAATCCTTTGCATCCATAATCCTCCTTGTATACTCATCAACGGTTGCCTTAATCTACCTCCACCTAAACAGACTGGACTCGCGAACGTTTGGCACATGACCCAAACTGAAAAATCATCAGGAACCCGCCACAACTTGACGAACCAGATTTTTGAACAAGCGTGCCAGTATGAATCACCGTTCGCTTCCCAGGAATGTGTACCAGAATATCAAACGGAGAAGATAATTCAGAGTATCTGTAATCACAAACCTCCTTGTGAAGTAGTCCACTGTTGCTATAAGCCCAAATTCGATCCAAAGCTTAAGGATTCGTGTGTTCACGTACCTATGTGTCAAAGGCTGCCTGAATGTTTGATAAAAGTTGATTCTATCGATCGTCAGACTCAATGTTCACACCGTCCGAAATGTGAGGAACTTCCATTGTGTTCCAAGAAGCTAGTGCTAACAGCCAAGCAAGATATGAGTACGCAAGTGAAGCCAAGAACACGTATGGTGTGTCGTCATGAGCCACCGTGTCTGATGATTCCTAAATGTATAGCTCGTGTGATTTGCAATGAAGTTGTACCATATGACGCTATTCCTGGTTGCGTCCACAAGCCATCCTGTGAACTGATTCCGGCGTGTTGTAGGAAGGTCACCAAAGAAATGGTTTCTATTTCATCTCAATATCCAAAAACTTCATGTCGTATAGTTTAAATCAAGATCAATTTAAGGTTTTTTGTTTGATTTTTAATATGAAATAGGGTTTGAATTTGTTTGAAGGGACTTAATTGTTAAGTCATTATGTTTTTGACGAATTGTTGCTTGTCAATGTCAATTGTCAATTGTCAAAATCATTGTTTCATAATTTTAACATAGAAGTTAAATTAATACAAATGATGTCATTTGTTATAGCCTTCACTGACGTCTAACGAAGAAGGTCTGTCTATAAAAGTGCCTCGCATGCCTCTTCATCAACGGAACCGATTAATGCGATTGATCAATAGTAAACGGTGATACTCAATTTCATGTGGTACGTATCTATCAGTATATAGATTTGTTTAAATAAAACACTTTAACAGTTTAAAACGCGAAATATATTAGTTAAACTTATTTGATAATTATTTTAACTAAGGTCCGATCTTTCGGTGGTCTCCCCGTGACGCAATTAAGTTTAACTAATATATATCGCGTTTAAAGCCGTTAAAGTGTTTTTTTTTTGTGTACTACTCACGTAAACTACGGAGAGTATTTGGTAAAAAAGGTCCACCATGTAACAAGCGCAGTCATGGCAATGGACGGAAAAAAATATAAATTTAAAGTCGATTGTACGCTCAAACGAACTACGTGTAAGACATAAAAGGTTATATTGGTTTGAGAATAGTGTATGTAATGAGTTAAACAATCGACAATCAAATACTGTCTGTAGTTTACGCGAGTAGCACAGGTTTGAAAAAACTACTTCAACGGTTTTAAACGCGATGTATATAAAAAGTGAAAGCCCGTTTCCCCTCGTGGGACGAACGCATTTCTGAGTTTGTTTCACTGATCCGTTCTTTTAACGGGCAAGTACTTGATGAGACTTCTGTGCCCTGCCCGACCGAAACTATTTTATGTTTACCTGGGATTCGAACGAAAAGTCCAGCCTTTCGTGCTTAACGCAATGCTAGGCAATACAAACGTATTAATATGGTTAAACAACCGTTTGGCTACAGAGGCGGTCCCGATGTATATTAGTTAAACTTATTTGAAATTTATTTTTAACTTTGGCCCGACGTGTCGGATGCTTAGCAGCAGCCGTGGTCACGGGGAGACAGTGCGATTGAGATTAGCTCGTGAAAACTAACAATCTCTTCTGCTTTATAATATTAGTATAGATGCCTTCTTGGTAAATCCTCCAACTAGCACAAATAGAGTTTTTTTAATACGAACCAGTAGTTCCTGAAATAAGCGCGTTCAAACTCTTCAGGTTTATGATATTAGTATAGGTATAGACGTCTGTTGCCTTAATAAAGTATACATACTGTCAGTAGTTTACGTGAGTAGAACTCTTTCAAATAAAACACTTTAACGGTTTAAAACGCTGATCTGTCCACGGCTGCTGTAAAGCATCCGAAACGTCGGGCCGTAGTTAAAAATAATTTTCAAACAAGTTTATCTAAAATATATTGCGTTTTAAACCGTTAAAGTGTTTTTTTTTTAAAAAAGTACCTATACATTTTCAGATTAAACAAGTGTGAAGTGCTCCCCGAACTACGAACTTAGCGTAGGTGTGTTTACTTGCTAATGGTTGATACAATAAAGTTATACAATAGTAATTAGTGGTTTTATTTAAGAATTTAGCACTGTTATCGTGTTGGATGTGCGAATTTTACCTCTAATTGTTTTAGGGTCAACGTCCATAAGCGCTTATAACGTGGAATAAATAATAGGTAAGTTTAGGTTTGAAAGTAACTGGTGGTTTATATAATACCGTCGCTAGCAACCCATCGTTCGGGTCCCTTCAAATTAATCTTAAAAGATAAACATATAGTGTCGCAGACATTTTTTAAATCATTAAAAAAGAAATGATTTTTTCATACATATTTTTTGGTTGTCTTGAGCCGTTTTCGTAGCGTACACAACGGAAACCCACAAGGAAAAATTTCCCCGTTTTTTCACATTTCCCGCTGTTTCTTCGCTGCTATTAGTCGCAGTGCGATGTTTAGCCTATAACCTTCTTCGATAAATGCTATAAACAACACAGAAAACTTTTCATTTAGGGCCTGTAGTAGTAGTTCCTGAGATAAGTGCGTACAAACAAACAAACAAACTCTTCATCTATCTTCTACCTTCCGTCCCTACTTGCTGCTATTTTATAGCTTTAGAACATCAGCAAGGATATAAAGGCGCATTCATACATAAGACAACTGGAAACTAAAAAATCGGTGATTACCAAACAAAGTGGACGAAATTACTCAATCGTTTTTCGCTTACGGAATTATTTATATCGATGTCTATTGAATGCAAATGGGAGATCTTGTCGGACATTCTCTCACGGCGAAATTCGGTAATGGCCACACATACAAATGTGGCTGAAGTACGGATTATGTATATGGAGTTAAAAGCGACAATTTGGCGCCAATATTATTAATTCGTCTTAAAGTCTGTCTTTGTACGTGTGAACGTACCTTTATAATTTGGTACGTTTTAAAGCAGTATAACTAACACGAGAACAACTCCTTCACTATCAAGGATGTATGTAGGTATATGATTTTAAAATCTTATTAATATCTTAGTTCCCGGATTCTTGTTGAAACTTAAAAAACGAAAACAGAAAAAGAATATATTTATTTATTTTTGAATATATTTGTAGACGAACGTCTTGAGATTTCTATACTTGATAATTTTGTTTTATAGAAAAGTACCTACTATTAAAATAAGTTCCAAACTCCACCTATAATACCAAAAAAAAGAACAAACTGTATATTAAGTGAGGGAGTTAAGTAACGATAAGTAAGATGACATATTTAATTGCAAAATCTTATTATGTATCTACATTGCTCTTTTTTCTCCTTTATCGAAAAACAAGTGTCCCACAAACAAAATAAAGTGAGTTTGCCTTGTACGTACTACACAATATTTATTGCCAGGCCTATAGAACATCGAAATATCAGAGGAGCCGAAAACTGGTCAAGTTCAACGTTCTTTACTCATTAGCTTTTTGATCACCATCACCGCAACACACAAGGCTGCAACTGCCTCCACACAAGTACGAGAAAAACTACTCTATCCGCATAGTATAGGGTTCAAAATCGCTTAGCCACCCGGAGATAAATTTTTTTCCAACTGGTTTTCGACGTTGGAAATGATAAAATTCCTCGTCTGAGCACCCATAGATTAGGAAATCCTATAAGTTAGAAATGTTTATAGGAACCGCTCTGGGCAGCTTTTTATGGCTGTTAAGTGGCGATAATTTTAGTTTAAATGTAAAATAGGAATGTGGGATTACTCTCTAATGATCTAGCCGAGGTGTTTACGCTACGTTTAATTTATACAAAAATGAGGGACATAGAAAACTGGCTAATGTAATTGACATCGCTCTAATATACTGACTATTAAGTAGGGATGGACGGTAATTCAGATTCGGTATAAATTAATATCCCGTAGGTAAAACCGAACTTCGGTAATCGGCTGGCACTCTATAAAAGCCAAAGTTTTAATTCATCATAGTTAAATACTGTCTATAGTTTACGCGAGTAGTACACATTTAAATACAACACTTTAACGGTTTAAAACGCGATATATTAGTTAAACTTATTTGAAAATGACAGTCTCCCCGTGACCACGGCTGCTGCAAAGCATCCGAAACGTCGGGCTGAAGTTAAAAATCATTTTCAAATAAGTTTAACTAATATATCGCGTTTTAAACCGTTAAAATGTTTTATTTAAATTCATCATAGTTAACGTCTTCTGTGTCTGTTTCATTGATCGACTCTACAGTTAAAATATAGTTGATCAGACTTTTGCGCCCTGATCGACCAGAACAGGGATTAACATCGCATCGCTGTTAACACAATGCATACGATACAATGATTTTAAATTGAGCTATGTAGACTGATTTATATAGAATAATTAATTTAATCTAAAATTGTTAAGTATCTTAACCTTTCTTTAATGCACGAAAAGAAGGGAAAGCTGTCTTTGGTGTCAAAAACATTTAAAATACAATAAAATTTTTATTCTTTATCTATAATTAGTTTACTTTCAACTATTTAAAATCACCTAATTATGTGTGACTCGTGAAACTACTTTTTTTAGTGCAAAACATAAACCGAATGATCGGCCGAAATTCGGTTTCGGTTCAAACCACATTCGGCCCATCCCTAATTCTTAGAAGGTACGGCAAGTTTTTAGAGACCGTAAACATTTTTCTAAGTCTAGTTTTTACTATACATATTTCTGCCGTTGCGTAGAATAAATTCTGCTTGGTTTAAAGGCAAGGATTTAGTTACACTCAACTACCTGAATACTTATAATTTGCAAAGCAGGGCTCATACATTTACGAAATCGTTAAAACAAATAAAACTATGAAAAAACCCGCAACTAAAGTAATCACTGCATCAGATGCAGTTGAAACAACAATAGCTCTATTAAGGAGTTCTATTTTTATTTAATTACAGAATATCAAATACTTCGAAACAGATGGCGCTAGCGTAGTAGACTTGACTTTGAAATCACATACAACCACCATCTTCAGATTCCGAATCGAAACGCCCGCCGGGCACTTAAAATAAATTAGAAATAAGGTAACTAATATATTACGCGTTTAAAACCGTTAAATGTTTACAACTCGCGAAACATAGACAATTCCTAACTATTCATAAAAATAACTAAGAACTTGACATTTTATTTTTAAGCGTGAGCAATAAAATATAATTTATTCCCATAGAAACATAAAAATCTTCGCCGCGTCCCATTTTAATAAATCATAAGTCAAAGACAGCTGTCATAATAAATATCATTTCAACTTTCTAAAAACCGAGCGTCGAACTCACTTCCCATCTGTATGCAAATCGGCGACGCCTACATTCGACCACTTTGGTTACAAATGTATGCAAACGATTGTCAGTGCATATAAATCTATTAGTGAGTGAAACATCAAATCAAATTCTTCATGTGAACTGCTTATATGAATAAAACATGGCCTGCGTTGTGCCAGGAATGTAGGTAGTAGG